ACCTCCCGTATGGTACGCACAACGCAGTGCATCGCAAAGTTTGCGGTGTTGATCGCATCCCCCCAGTCTCTCCTCCCAGTCTCTTTCCCCAGTCTCTTCCCCCAGTCTCTTCCCCCAGTCTCTTCCCCCAGTCTCTCCTGCCAGTCTCTTCCCCCGGCCAGTATAAGGGTATCGTCGGCATAACAAATGATGCTGCAGCCGGGGGGGAGGGCTTCCCGGAGGATATTATCGTAGCCGAGGTTCCACAGGAGGGGGCCCAACACGGACCCCTGTGGAACCCCGCAGCTCATCCCCCTCTCACACGTCCCGCCATCAGCGTCCGTCCAACTGAGACGCCGACCCCGGAAATAATCCTCGATGACGACCACCACCAGGTAGCGTGGAAAACGGAAGTGTTCCGTCATATCTCTCACCACGCTATCCCAGGGCAGGGTGTTAAAGGCATTGGCTATGTCAATAGATACAGCCACCCTGCCCTCCTTCACTATGGCCCTCGAGAGGGTTTTGAGATGCAGGATCGCATACATGATGGATCTACCCTCTCGGAAGCCATGTTGGCCATCATCGAGGTTCGGATCTATCCGGGCCATATGCTCCGTGAGGCGAGCGACGATGATTCTCTCAAAGACTTTGCCCGTCTCATCCAGGAGACATATGGGGCGGTACGCGGAGAGGGAGTCCCCCGGTTTGCCCTCCTTTCAGAGGAGGACCACATGGGTCCTCCCCCAGACTGGGGGGAATTTTCCCTCCTTTAGGGCGGTCGAGAAGATCTCGGCCATCCTACCGGCGATGACCCCCGAGGCAAGGGTGCGTACGCGGCCGAGTATGCCATCAGGTCCTGGAGCCTTTCGGCTTTTGACCTTCCTGATGGCCCCGGCCACCTCCTCCTCTGTGACCCCAGGACTTCCCTCTGTTGTTCAAGAGGCGGGCAAGACCCAAGCCTACGGCCCATTCTTCGACTTCCTCCCCCCGCCCGTCATTATCACGGGGAGAACCCCATAGGGGTGACTTTGCATTAAAGTTGCTGGCGATGATGACGGGTCCTGGGAGGTACCGCTCAACGGCCCACCCAATTTATTGGAGCTTGGACTTATAACTCTGCAAGTCCAGGCTCTTTATTGGGGGGAGGTAGACCCTGACCACTATGAGGGCCCTCCACCTGACTACCACATATCCCCTTCCCTTACCCAGCTAAGTAGCGGTAGGGGAGTGACTATCGGTCCTCCATATTATGGGGACGGAGCTCAGATCGTCCCCAAACCATCTAGGATGATTTTTGGGTACATGGTTGGGCTCCGCCGCTATACCCAGTCCTGCTCCGCGCTCCGCCATTGTATGTGCAAAAAGAGTCATTGCTTGGCGGGCGCGGTGCAGATTGGCTTGGAGGAGCCGGGTAGCCATTATAGTTGTATTAGCAACTTTTCTGCTGGCTCCTCCTGGCAATCCCTCTCTTCGTCATCTCTTGGACGGCTTCTCTTCTTCCCGCGTTTCCTTACGTCCATCTCCTCCACTCTCCGTGCGTTATAAGAGAGGGGGTCAATGGACGGAGAGGTAGGGGATGGAACGTCTTCCTCCTTTCCTTTCTTCTCCTCATCTGAGGGGGGTAGAGGTACTATGTTCGCTGGCCTCTTTTCCTTTTGTACCTCTGGTCCCTTTCTTCTCTTTTGTTTAGGGAAGTGGCAGTCCGGTCCTCCCATTCGATGGTCGGCAGGCTTTCCCCCCACATATCTGGCATCTGGCTAAGGATTTACATTCCCTGGCCAGATGACCTTCCTTTCCGCATCTATAGCAGTTTCTGCTTCTATCGGCTTCACTGCCGCAACATTTACTCTGGACATGGCCCCTCTCTATGCATCAATAACATTGGAGGGGCCTTGCTTCCAGAAGTTCGGCCTTGACCAGGGTCAGCTCAGGGTCAGTGTCCCCCTGCTTGCCGCCTTTTGTGCGGCCGCCAGGGGTCACTGTATCCAAATGAACCTGTATCCTGTCAGTGATACCCTGATTTTCCCGGTTTTTATGTGTCCGGATTCACACTCCCCAATCTTGGCCAGGGTCTCCATCACTTCCTTCTCTATGGTTGACGGTTCAAGTCCCCTTAGTCTTAGCTCCCCCATTTTCTGGGGGCAGCTAATCTTGGCCCTGCCCTCCACGACTTTTCGCAGCTTGTCTGCCAACAAGTCCGCTTGTTCCCTCCTTTTCTTCCCAGGGATCTACAAGATCCAGGCTCTCGTCACTTCTATTCTCGTCTTGATCTTGGAGATCCCCAGTGCCTCTATATTGATTTTGGCTTTCGCTTCTGTCAATAATTCCTTATATCTTCTATCCGTTGTTGTGATGGACACAGCCGCGGTATTCGGTACCCTGTGTTTCTTCCTTTTCTTCTTGTTCTTTCCCTCCTCTTCCATTCTTCCCGCTGCGGGCTTCTGGGCCTGGGTCTGGGCTTTGTTGGCCTCTTCCTTCCTTTCCTTCTTCTTCTCTTTTCGCCCGACCACCTTTGTCTACATCTCTTCTTGCGTGGTGGCGCTTACCCTTTCATTCCCCTTACGAGGGAGGGGGTGGGAACTCCTCCTCAGTCATTCGGGGAGGGGTCTTTTGGGGCTTCTGTCCTTCCCCTATCTTCACCGATAGTATTGTATTCCCACCTTTCTTCCCTTCCTTCTTCCCCTCCCTTTTCCCTCTTTGGGGTTTGGGTGGGTGCGGGGGAGTGTGGGGTTCTGCGTGGGTGCGGAGAGTTATCTCCTCCTCCCCATTCTTTCTAGAAGCCATAGTGTTAACCACCCTTGTCATTATCTCTGTGACCCTCTTTTCCAGCGCGTCTACCTCCGAGTTTTTCATCTTAAGCTTTTCTATCCTAATCTTTGTGTCTATTAGGATGTCCTCCCTTGTCCTTGGCCTCGGTTTGTCTTGCCTTACCCCGGCTTGGACGACCTCTTGCCGCTTCATTATAGGGCAAAAATCTACTAGATTCGTACGAATCAGCCCCTTTTACACCTCTATCACCCCTGCCGGTGACATTGGCACTTCGTCCACTTCCATATCACTAGCATGGGGGGGAAGATATATCCACCAGTTCGCGGTTTCTTCATCTTCTTCTCCGTCACTATTGTGTGTGTCGGAGTTGGAGTAAAGGCGGGTGCTGGAGATGGAATCCTTGGCACTGATGGGAATGCCTCTTGGATCCTGCGGGGGATTCTCTCAGCTCCTGCACTTCCTTCTTCATTTTCTCGTATGAGGCGCGGAGCCTCTGATTCTCGCTCCGCACCTCTTCCAGGATATCTAAATTTTCCCCACCTCCTTCCGCTACTCTCTTGATTAGTAGCGTGGCACCCACCGCAGTAGCAGCAGCGGCATCCCTAAGGACCTTCACATAGGTCCTTTTAATATTCCCCGACTTGACTGCGATTCCCAGTACCTGTTTAGCTGCGTCTAGTACTGACGCAAGTCATTAGTTGGGGCTGCCTCCAGGTTTTCCGTTACTTTGTTGACCTCCGCCACATACTTACGATTACTCGTCAAGCTGGCGAAGGACACAGACAGAGTCTTCATGGCTTGAAGGAGTTCGTTCTCCCTCATTCTTGTTTGTAGTTCTTCCTTTTTTTCCATGAAGGCCAATTTCTTCTTGTACTCTCCGGTGGTTTCGGGTCTTCCTCTTTTCCGGAGAGCTTTCGCCTCGAAGACCTCTTCGTCCGTTTCCCCATCAGATTTCCTGGGGATGGCCCACCTGTCGATGATCCTCTCAGGTGATGTCTCAGCAGACATGGACTCAGCCTTCCTTCTTGTTCGGCGTCCTAGACCTAGATCTGGACGGAGAACATCTTCCTTGTTGAGCAGCGCGGCTTCTGGTGTTTCTCGCACTGCTACTCCTTCCTCTCCTGGCCATGTTTCGAGATGAGCGTCTACACTCATTCTCTATGGCCATCTGGCTTGCGCCCAGTTGTTCTTCGGAGGTTATTTCCTCCTTCTCCGTCCGGGAACTGGGGAGGGTTTCCAGTTCTTCCACCATTCTTTCCGGGGTCGTCATAGGTGTATCCATATCCTTGTCTTTTATTTTTATTTTTTCAAAATCAATAGGGATTTGCGAGGTCGTCATTTTTTGTTTGAACCCCACCACTCTACACGGCTTCATCGCCCGGGCATGCCCGCATCCCCCCGGAAAGGGGGAGCCTCCGAGTTCCCCCAGAGGAGCGACATATGACTCGGGCCGACGGAATGTATCATCGTCGGCACCGGCCTCCCGTCCCCTACACACGCCCTGACCACCATTTCTGTTGGCCAGACCGCTTTCGGGGGTCCCACAGCTCCGACCCTGTGGGCACCGTGCAGAGCGCCGCCACGCTGGGGGCCCCATGGAAGGAGGTAGCTTATCGGTGTCGCACCCCACCGGGAGCGCCTCCCTCATGGCAGCCAGCGTGCTAGCGCCGCCTGAGGGTCCGCTTTAGAGTGATGCGATCGCATTCCCTTCAGTACAGCTCTCAGCCGTTCCGGCTCCGCCTCGGAATACATCCGAGCGGCCCGGAACACCCCTCCACCCCCCGGGTACCATGAGGGGTTCTATACCCTCATGGTGTGCAGATCCGAGTGTGGGTTCCTCCCTCCGCCCGGCCGAGGCTGAACGGATGAGGGAAAGTGGGGAGCCCCACCTTTTTTGGCTGCCGGAGCACCGGCGTGCAATGCCTCCGAAAGTGGGGTCCTATTCCCTCCTTGCCCTAGGGTGTCTCGACCCCGACCTCGGAATAAGTCCGAGCGGCCCGAGACACCCCTCCACCCTCCGGGTACCATGGGGGTATCCCCCATGGTATGCAAACCCGGGTGGGGGATCCTCCATCCGTCGAGGTGGGTAGGGAGGGTCCGTTTCCTTTGGCTGCCGGAGGACCGGTGTGCAGTGCCTCAGAGAACGGGGTCCCCTTCCTAGAGCGGGTGCTGAGGAGGTCATCCCTTTTGGCTGCCGGAGCACCGGCGTGCAATGTCTCCAGGGATTATATTCTCCTCCCACCCACTCTATGACCAGTCTGGTCAAGACCAGGCTGATCAACCAACCTGGTCAGGCACTTTTGATCCAGTCCCTCAGTACAGACAACTCCGGCATGGTAGGACCTGCCAGGGGCCGAAACCCCCGCCGGCACAGCTCTGTACGTCATCGGGACCTTCAAGTTCCCTCACCACATCAAGGTGGAGCCTACGGAGGAGAAAAGGTATGTGGGGGTGCCGAAGGGAGCCCCCCAAACCCCCCCTCGGTGAGGAACCGAGGGGGTCTCTACTTAACCGGTCCCAGAAATGGGACCGGTCATCCTTCCCCGGGACTCCCTACACCAGGGCATCACACAATCCCCGGCCTGGTTCACACCCTGGTTCCGGGCCATGCCCACCCTACTGCGAGGGAGGGATGGTCCCCCTTGTTCAGGGGGTCGGCCCATCCTCCTCGCTCCCAGAGGCCCTAATGAGCGCCTCCCCGCTCGATGAGCCACTGGTGGGGGGGGGGCCTCGAATCAGTCCAGCCCACCAGCAGTCCTATCAAGCTTGGGGTGAGCGAGTAGGTGGGGAGTCCCATCTTGAACCTAGCCCCCCCACTCATCCCACCCCGCCTCCGCCAACAGGGAGCTGGCCAGCTCCACCTCCATCTCATGCATCGCTTCTTTTAAGGCCATAGCCTTTACAGGCGCCTGTTCCGGTTCAGTGGGGAGGCGCGTCCCCCCTTATTCTACCGGCCCTACCTTATTCATGGGCGACCTTAGCCCCCTGCCCACCATCCCTACCTCTTTGCTCGGTCCTACCGAACTTTCCCCTTTTTGAGCGGCCTCAACGGGGGGCTGGGGTAACCCGGATTTCTCATCCGTGGTCTCCCCTTCCCTCCTATGGGGCTCCCCAGCCTTGGTAGCGTGTTTTTTAGCGCAGCGTCGCTCGGGCTTCCCCCTTATCGCGGTAGTCCGGTTGGGGACCGCCCCGCAAGCCTTCCCCCCCATCCTGTGGTGAGGATTCCTACCTGCCACATCGCACGGGACGCACTGTGCAGTCCCGCGCGATGTGGCCTACCCCCCAGCATGTAAAGCAGTTGGCAACCTGGCGGTTGCCCCCCGAGCCTATCTTTGGCTCGGCAGGCAACCGCCAGGTGCCCGAAGCTCAGGCACCTATAACATTGTACGAGGCGGTCCTCAATCGGCTGGACCTGGGCTTTGGCCCAACATATTCAGCCCCTTAGCTGCTGCCACCTTTTGGGCTGCCCCCGCTGGGCATCAGACCCATACCGCGTTTAGTCCGCCGGAGGATCTCCCGATCTTGCCGATCTGGATATCCCCCGGCGGGCACCCCCCAACGGCCCAGATCGCGTCCATGACGCCCCGCGGGGTAGCCGAATCGTCCAGGCCGACAATTCGGAATTCGGTCCTCTTTGCCGGCCTGGCGACCTTGGCCTCCCCGCAGAGCGCGTCCTCGAGCTCCCTGGCGAGGCGGTCAGCCTTCTGCCGAGCATCCCCGCCAGGGATCTCGAGAATCGTTCCCCCGTTCCGCGCGCGTTTAATTTTAAAATCTCCCGGAGCGACATCTATCTCCGAGAGATCCACTTTATCGCGGGCCTGACGCATAACCTCCTCTATTGTTTTTCCCAGCAGCGCGGTCACCGTAACTGCCGGGTTACGCGGAGGAGCCCTGATTATGGGAGGCTTGGGAGGAGGGGGTCCCTTTTTCGGGGCCGTCTCTTCTCGAGGCTTCCCTCCCTTACTGGGAGGAGGCTTTGGTCGTGAAACCTCTCCTCCCTTTTTTGGGGGGGCACATCTTTCCTGGATGTGCCTCCCCTTTTGCCCATATGTTTGGAGGGTTTCACCTCCCTCCCCTTATTCCCAGCTGGATCAGGGATTGCCCTGCTGCCCGCAGTTGCGACTACTGGAGAGGTTAATTTCTCCAGCAGTTGCCCCATGCGGGCGATTTCGGACTTGAGACCACGAATTTGGATCTCTATGGCCGCAAGTCTTTTATCGGGATCCCCCTGCTCCGCATAAAATTGGCACTGCCCCAGTGCCTCCGCAATATCCTCCAGGTAATGGTGGGTTGTTCCATTTAGGGCAGCCAATGCCCTCCCCGTATACTCCCCCCGGACTTTTTTGCCCGGTTCCACCCGGAGATACCTTCAATATTCCACCCCGTCCAGTGCTTCCTGTATCATCTTCGGTGTAGACCTGTATGGCCTATTCACCCTTGGGATGCCCCATTGGAGATGCTCATTCACCTCCCGTGGGCGCTCATTCGCCTCCCTTTGTAAAAGAGGAGGATGGGTACTCTTTGCCTCCCCCCTTTGTATACTGACGCTTCCTCTTGCTAGTTGAGGGAGCAGCATCATCTTCCTCTGGTGGAGGGAAGTCTTCCTGAGGGAAGACTCTCCTCCAGATTTAGGTAGGCGCAGGGCAGGCAAACTCGTATATAGTTGATGCCATTGAGGGCATTGTAAAGCGCTATCTGATAGTGACGAACGGATTTGACGGGACGAATTAAATCAATATGGCGGCTTTTCCGCAAAATTAAAATGGTATTTTTCTGCATTATAATTTTAATGTAAAACTGTATTTCTTATTTTAAGTATTAAGAAAAAATATTCTTACATCAATTATATATTTGTATAATTGTAATGTATAACCATATGCCAACATATAATTGATGTAAGGATATTTGCTCTTAATATAATTAAACTACTAAAAATAAAGTTGTTTTATATTTTTGTATAAAATACATGTTTATGTTTAATAATGCTAATGTAACTTGATACAAAATTAGCTGTTTGTTCAACGAGCATATGATGAATTTTTTAATAAATGACTTGATAATTTTTAAAAAATGAATTTTACAAAATGACAAGTTATAATAATTTTGTAAAAAAATATATTAATTTGATCCCAGCAAACATGATGACGTATTAATGATTAATTGGCGTCAATTATACATTGTCAATATGTCATTTGAAGTCGTTAATACATTATTATTTCTAAGATGGATATATTAAAAATATAATTTAGCAACTTTTCATAATTATTAAATATAAGTATATACAAAGGTAAGATTAATGGTAAATAAATAAATATATAAATATATAAATATATATATATATAAGAAATTAAAATAAAAAAACGTTTGTATTCAACGGAACTACTTCGTCCAGTCCACTATAATATGCAACACCATATATTATACATATTAGATTATTATATTTTGCATTACAAAATTCATACATTTCCTATGTTTCATAAAATAATCATTTGCAGTTATCATAAGAGCATCATTACAATTAAGATGTAACGTACCTTTTAATATTTTTCTAATATCTTCAAAATAATGTTTGATGATTCTCTCCGTACTTTTGTGTGCGATTATTTGTATTAACGATGCAACATGATTACATTCTAAGAACTGAAAATCTGTACAGGGTGTTTGATAGCTGATCATGCAGACGAAAGTTGGAAATAGATTGGGTGTAGCCGAGAAGAAAAGTCATGTACCATAATGTCAAATTGCCAATAGTTATCGAGTTATTAATTAAAACATGTGAGCCAACGAGCGCGTAGAGAGCGGAGGGCGACCGCAGTAAGCACGTAGACATTTGATACAGGCGGAGTCGGTAGGCGAGCGCGCGCGGCGAGGGGCAACGTAAACAATAAAGCTAAGACTCCATGCATGCGGTGAACTGCGGCAAACGGTTGCGGTGACCAATCAGGAGGGAGGCGCAAGTCCGGTTGCGGCAAGCTCCGGCATGCGTCTGTCTCCTGATTGGTCACCGCAACCGTTTGCCGCAGCTCATCGCATGCATGGAGTCTTAGCTTAAGAGGCGAACGCGTGCGACGAGGAGCGAGCGAACGCGAACGACGAGAGCGAGCGAGCGCAAGCGACAAGAGGCGAGCGAGCGCGATGAAGAGCGAGCGAGCGCGAACGACGAGGAGCGAGCGAGCTATAAGGAAAAAGCTATAAAGAAAAAGCTCGCTCGCTCCTCGTCGCGCGCAATCGCCTTTTGTCGCTTATGTTGCCCCTCGCCGCGCGCGCTTGCCTACCGTCACTCACTGACTCCGCCTGTATCAAATGTCTTCGTGCTTACTGCAGCCGCCCTCCGCTCTCTACGTGCTCGTTGGCTCACATGTTTTAATTAATAACTCGGTAACTATTGCCAATTTGACATTATGGTACATGACTTTCCTTTTCGGCTACACCCAATCTATCTCCAACTTTCGTCTGCATGATCAGCTATCAAACACCCTGTATAATTTATTATAATTTCTTTAATGTATCTAGAAAATTGCAGAAAGTGAGAAATCATTGGCAAATAATAATAAGTAATGCTTACAATTTTCGTAATGCCAATTGTAAAAGTCTCATTTTGTTGTAAGGTTGTTACATTTATATGGCACGTCTCACAATTCTTTTCATACATCGAATTTATATTTTTTATTATATAAGTTGATATATTGACAATACTAATATTTATATCATCCATTATTGGTATTACCTTTGGCAAAATAATTTGATAATTTAAAGTTTTATTTTCAGTCAATGAAAAAGTTAAAAGTTTCTTTAAGTTTAATAAATATCCAGATGTATTATCTGGTTCGCAATTCCAAATATTGTGGACATATCAGTATATGTATTTATTAATAAACTTTTGTAATATCCTACAAATGTACTACATGTAGGGTTAGTATTTTGTCCACCGTGTTGCCGGATCTGTTGCCGCAACCGTGTTGCCGGATCTGCCCAAAAAAATTTTCAAGAGCATCTTGATTGAATGTTTTAGTTACAAAAGTTGTAAAATTATTTTCACGTAAATATTCACTTAATAATTTGAAACCTTGTAGTGTATGTATCCAATTTTTTAAAACTATTGGAGTTTTCCGATCATGAGATTTATTTTTAATAAATTCCATACTTTTAAATGTAGACATAGCATCCGTCCATAATTGTTCATGTGCATCATCATTCAATCATATACTACCATTTACGCTGTCAAATCCGTTAAAAAAACAATAACTCAGCAGTTTCAATACCTTCAGGTGACATAGACTTATTTGAAGTAAGATTCTTGCTTTGACTTCTACTCATTAACGCTATGATACTTGATACAGTATTGCTAAACACTTGCGCACAGCACGAGACTTTCATTTTCTTAATTTTATTACGTACAACATGACAATCTGTTAATTTACGCATTGTTCAGAAATGGCCATTGTTGCAATCAATTTCATAAGCATCTTCCATGTGTGACCACTTTGCTATTTGTTCTTTGCCATCTTTTAATTTGTACCGTAAATTTTTAGTTATTAAATTATTGCGTATGCATTTTAATAAATGTGGTGGATCATATAATGGAATAATTTGATGATTTCTTATAATTATTTCATCGTGCTCTAAAAATACATTATTAGAAAAAGCTTCTCGTTTGGAATCCAGTATCAGTTGTTGTATAGCTTTTACGTTACTACTGCCTTGGTCACATACTGAAGCGACAATTTTTAATCCAGCGTTATGTGTTTTGATTATAATTTTTTTAAACATGTACAATATTATTTGATGGTGTAGAATCTCTACAAAATGAAAACACAATTGGTTGTTTCCATGGTTTGCTGCCATAAATTCCTTTTAACATCCTTTTAACATCCAAACTAACACATGATCAGCTATTTCCAATTTTCTCTCATCGCCATCATCAATAAAACCTTCAACAAAATCTGCAGTTGGGTTATACAATAATGCAGCATCCAGTTTTATTTCGTCGAAAAGTAATACGCAATATTTGTATTTTTCATCTGTGAATGATTCTACACGAGCTATTATTTCATCAAAAATTATATCACAAATACCTGGTTTTAATATAATATTTTGTAACAATTTTCTTAATGTTTCCTTACTAGGTAGATAAAATATTTGTGCCATATATTTATAAGCTTTAAGACTTTTTTTATAAAGTGACAGTGCAAATATTGTATCTTGTAACGTATATTCTCTTTTATATTTATTTCTATTCATATTTCTTAAATATGATATAAAAAAGTCTTTAGCGGGTGTTGGCATTTCATCTAAAGTAGCGAATGATTTCTTTTTCAAAAATCTGTTTGCTTCCTGCAATCTATGCTTTAAATTGTTCTTCCTAGTAGTAATGCGCAAAATTACTTTTCTCAGTGATGCTATTGTATTGTATATTTTTAGATCTTGAGGATTAAGATGCTTCTTCTTGCGAATAGCCAATAAGTTAAAGATAGAAACTGGAACATGAATGGATTCAAGATTTAAAAGTTTAGGAGGTTTTCTAGCAAGAAATGACTCTTTGATCGAAGTCCAAACTATGAAATCGACACTGATTTGGCATCGTTTTGACGTCACTTGATAAGTTATTTCTCACTGGATTAGAAGTAGACATGCATAGGAATAGATTACATTCTATGAAATCATATATGTATTGCACGTTTGATAAAGATAAGAAGACAGAAAAGAGCAGGCAACACTTTCACACATGTACACATATTTACCTGTTAATCAAAACAGTTAGTTTAATTTCCTATGTAATAGGCAAAGTAATAATATTTGGATTGATAAGGAAATGAATTGTACGTTGGTAAAACGATTTCTGGATTGGTAAAGAAATGAGTAGTTAGGTACAAATATTTTAAGGCAGTACAAGTTCCTTTGTATTTTTGATACTTCTTTTATTAACGAAGATATTTAAATTGACTGTATTATAAACTAATAATATAGTTGCACTAAAAATAGTAATAAATAATAAATATTATTTATATAATAGTAATAAATATATTATATATTCATATATCTCCTTACTTTTTTTCTGTATTATAATACATATTATACGTTAAGGATGTTTGACAGGAACTATAAGAATTTAGTCGTAGTTGCGGTCAGACACACTATACGTATGTAAACACATATATATACACAATATATTTACCACATATACAGGGTGCACGATTTATCTGAAGACATTGAAATATCTCGAGAAATATGCATTGGATAAAAAAAAGTGGTTAATGAAAGTTGTTAGTCTTGAAGGGGGACATCCAATGATACTAAACTCGACCTCCCACCCCACTCCCTGGGGGTGGGGGTTGGGGGCAACTTTGAAATCTTAAATGGAAACCCCCATTTTTTATTGCAGATACGGATTTTACGCCACAGAATACGTAAATTTTGTCCGAAACTTTTTTTTTGATTCGTGATAGATGGCGCTGTAATCGCAAAAAATTATATTTTCCGCAATTCTTCAGAAATGATCATTGGATTGAGAAATAAAAAATACCTGTTCAATATTTTTAAAGAACATAATAAAAGTTATTCCCCCCCATCCTCTCGGGGTAGGGTGGGTCATAACGTTTAAATCTCAAATGGGAACCCGAATCGAAAAGGGAACTGCTCGACGCGCCACTGTGGGTGTATGGCGAATTACGGCTTATTATAAAAGGCAGTGCAATGCGGTCAGAGCTCACTTTCCTTTCAGAATTAGAACTGAAAGCATCTCTAACAATTTCATTTTACTTGACTAGTTTTTATTACCTGCATATCTACCCTTCATTCTTTGAACAGAATTGTGGAAATGAAAACAAGTGGAAAATGAATTCTGCAACCGTAGAAGAAAAAATTGAAATGATTCTGATTTATGGTGAATGTAGGAGGAATGTTGACGATGCTGTTGCCTTGTATGCTGAGCGTTTTCCAGACAATGTTCGCGCACGTTCTTTTTTTTACAAAGTTGTGACTGCCTTTATCTCGGATGGCAGCGTACAAACTAAAAAAAGAAAACGAAGAACAACTGTTACAGGAGAAGTTAATGAAATAGCTGTGCTAGCAGCTGTTCACCACAACCCACAGGTAAGCACTCGGCAATTACATCGCGATTTCGGAATTTCCGGAGATAGTATTCGCAGAATATTGCATCGTCATAAGTATCACCCATATCACATTTCACTACATCAAGAACTTCATGGCGATGATTTTCATAATCGAGTGGTGTTTTGTGAATGGGCATTTCAACAAATGCAAACGAACCCCAATTTCATTGCTAATGTACTATTTTCAGATGAGTCTACATTCACAAACCATGATGGCGTTGATCGACATAACATGCATTACTGGAGTGTAGAAAATCCCCACTGGTTACGACAAGTTACGTACGAACATCAACGTCCTTGGTCGGTTAACGTTTGGTGTGGAATCATAGGGAACAGACTCATTGGTCCTTATTTTATTGAAGGTAATTTGAATGGAATCAAATATCGAAATGTCCTGGAACAGGAACTACCACCACTACTTGATGATGTTGCCTTGGACGCTCGACAAAGTATGTGGTTTCAGCATGACGGTTGCCCAGCGCATAACTCAATAGCAGCACGGGAAGTATTAGACCGTGCTTACAATGGTCGGTGGATTGGCAGAGGTGGCCCGATTAATTGGCCTGCTAGGTCGCCTGATTTGACATCGCCGGGTTCCTTTCTGTGGGGTTACCTAAAAGATAAGGTTTATCAACAAGTGCCAAAAACTCGTGAAAACATGGTAGAACGCATAAGAAACGCTTGCGCTGAAACTCCCACAGATATACTTATATCCTGTGTACAGTCATTTGAAAAAAGGATCAATAAGTGTATTGAAGTTGAAGGTAAAAATTTCGAACACTTACTCTAATTAATTGAATAGTGAGAGGCAAGGGGACTCACATCAAAAAAGCACCCCGATCTGTGAGAGGCAAGGGGACTCACATTAAAAAAGCACCCGAAGGGAACATAAAACTACTACGTCCTCGTCGTTGTTCCTTGTAACGCTAAAAGTAGTTTTTCAGAAAAATTCAACGCTATCTATCACGAATGAAAAAAATTGTTTCAATAAAAATTTCACGTACAGTCTAATTCTGCAATGAAAAATGTGGGTCCCCATTTGAGATTTGAACGTTATCACCCACCCTACCCCGAGAGGATGGGGGAGAATAACTTTTATGTTCTTTAAAAATATTGAACAGGTATTTTTTATTTCTCAATCCAATGATCATTTCTGGAGAATTGCGGAAAATATAATTTTTTGCGATTACAGCGCCATCTATCGCGAATCAAAAAAAAGTTTCGGACAAAATTTACGTATTCTGTGGCGTAGAATCCGTATCTGTAATAAAAAATGGGAGTTTCCATTTAAGATTTCAAAGTTGCCCCCAACCCCCACCCCCAGGGAGTGGGGTGGGAGGTCGAGTTTAGTATCATTGGATGTCCCCCTTCGAGACTAACAACTTTCATTAACCACTTTTTTTATCCAATGCATAGTTCTCGAGATATTTCAATGTCTTCAGATAAATCGCGCACCCTGTATATACCCAGATAGCCAAACCTGCGCGAGCAGATTTCGAACAAAGCCTGATATCATAGTTTGATGGCAAATAGGCAATAAATTTAACGCAGTATCTGTTATATCAAATTATACCGCCAATCTGCGGTCAAATATGCGCCAGATCCTGCTGTCGGATATTTGACGGCAGATTTGTAGCAAAAACCCCGCAAGACTTGCAGTAATTTGACGGCAGATTGGCGGCAGAAACCGAGCAAACTCAGCGCGCAGGCTCTACGCGTAGTTTGGCAGCAGGATCTGCGTGGTTTCTGCCGACAATCTGCTCGCATGGCCTATCACACGGGTCCTGTCGACAAAACACGAGCCTAATGAGGACACAGATGGTTATGGTTTTGATGTGGAGATCTGATCGAAATTGGCGTCAATCTGCGCGCATTCTGCTAGCATTTTGCTTACTAGGTATATGTGCATGTAAATATTCATGTATATATATATATATACAATATATATAGATTTCTGTCTTTCATTAAAATAGAAATATGACCAATACATTTTATGTACATGATCATATCTTTGTTAAAACTATTGTAGACAATTATTTTTATTGTGATTATATATATCATACCTTTTTTTTTTCATGCAGGGGAAATCCATCATGGATACCCCCGCCCTCTTGGGGAGGGGCGGTATATATATCATACCTTTCGCTTTTCTTTTTCTTTCCTTTCTTATCGACATAGATACAGGATTCTCTTCATTTCTATCTCTTCTTGTTTCTGCCACCTCTTCTCCTGAATATGTAGAGATATCTATTTCACATAACATTATTTATATAATTAAGGTATAATTTTTTTTGCAGTATTCATTGAAATCTATATACTACATGGGCTGAAAAGTCTTTGGCCTGACATATAGATGGCGCCACAAACTAAAAATCCTTATATTTCCTATAGAGTACCAACCTTAACTTAGATGCTGCAAAAATTTCATGATATTTCGTTGACTCGTGTACAAGTTATAACTTTCGAAGTGACGTTACCTCTGAATTTATCTTTACTATGGAAAAAAGTGAATTTCGTGTTTTGATTAAACATTGCTTCCTGATGGGAAAAAACACTGTTGAAGCAAAGGCATGGCTTGATAAATGTTACGGCACATCTGTCCCACCGAATTCAACCATCAAATATTGGTTTGCTGAGTTTCGTCGTAACCGTACGAGCACAAATGATGCAGCACGTTCAGAAAGGCCAAATGAGGCAGTTACTCCAGAAAACATCCAGAAAATCAGTGAAATCGTGTTGAATGACCGCAAAATAAAATTGGGTGAGCTAGCTAACATCATAGGCATCTCAAAGGAACGCGTTGGTCATATCATTCATGAATATTTACATATGAAAAAGCTTTGCGCGCGTTGGGTGCCGCGTTTTTGACAATTGAGCAAAAAGCGGAACTTGTTCGACTTTCAAAGCAAAATCTGGCCCTGTTTAACCGCAATAAGAAGGAGTTTTTGCGTCGATTTGTCACAATGGATGAAACATGGATCCATCACTACACACCGGAGTCCAATCGGCAGTCAGCGGAGTGGTTATTGCCTGGTGAAAGCCGTCCGAAGCGCCCGAAGACACAACAATCAGCCGGCAAGGTTTTGGCCAGTATTTTTTGGGATGCGCATAACATAATATTCATTGATTATCTTGAACATGGTAAAACTATCAATAAAGAATATTACTGTACATTACTGGATCGATTGGACGACGAGGTCAAGATCAAACGGCCACATTTGGCAAAGAAAAAAATTTTGTTTCACCAAGACAATGCTCCAGCTCATTCGGCTCGCAATACGACCGATAAATTAAAGAAATTGCGCTATGAATTGGTCCCGCATCCCCCATATTCTCCAGACCTGGCCCCCAGCGACCATTTCCTTTTTCCCCGACTGAAGCAGTGGCTCGCTGGTAAAAGATTTTACTCGAATGAGGAGATCAAGTTGGAAACAAATGCCTATTTTGAGGAACTTGACACCGAGCACTATAAGACCGGCATCGAAATGTTAGCGGACCGTTACACTAAGTGCATTACTCTAAATGGAGATTATATCGAGGAATAAAACACTGTTTTCATTAAAAAAATCGTTTTTTCATTGTTAAGCCAAAGACTTTTCAGCCCATGTAGTAAATTTTGACTATGTACCTCTGATATCGTCATGATCATTGCATTCTGTAATATTTGATACTTGTAGATCACCTGTGAAGATATATTAATATAAATTTTTAAAATTGTGGTGGAACGACATAACAAAAATGTAAAACACGCAGTCGGAGAAGTGCGACGCGTGGCGGCTAAGGCCGCACGAGTCGCACTTCTCCAAAGCTCCGCTAGGCGGCGCCGCGACGACTGTACATACTCGGGCAGAAATTCACACCAGCACCCCTATATCAAGCGGCCACAGCGGGTGGTTATCAGAGAGAAAACCATACTCTCCAGACACTGCGGAAGTGTCCATATATGCTGAATAAGCATACATGCTGAATGAGCATACCCGCTGCACAAGCATACACGCTGCACAAGCGTTACACGCTGCACAAGCGTACACGCTGCACAAGCATCTTAGAGTCTAACACAGTGAAGTGTTAGGTAATCTGAGAAGCGACGTCGACCTTAGAAGGCCCTCTCACAAGAACCCTGAAAGAGCCAGTAGACGTGCGCTCCCGGACAAGGGAACGTAAGCACCGGCATCCCAAGAAGGGAAAACGTTCCCGGCGGAAGCCTCGCAGTCCAGCCTCTCCTGGAGGAATAGGCTCGCCACCACGGACACCGGAGTTGTCCGAACGTCCACCGACACCGGGGGCGTCTAGACCTAGGTTCTCCCCCTTACCAAGGCGGACACCCTCTCCACCAGCAGCACTTGCAGAAGAGAGTAAGGGAATCACCTTACTTCCGTGGGTGCTGCAACCATTAGAGGTTCACAAACCTCTCATAACGAGACCACCTCTACTAACGCTACCACGAGGTGACTCCCGCAACGCTATCTCCACGCCGTGCAGAGGTTAGGGCCATCGACCAGGGCACCCAGACGGAATCTACGGCACTTTCCCCAGAACCAGCCATTCGACCGACCATAGGAAAGGTCCTTCGGAAAACCACGCTAAACGCGGCTGCCAGACGTAGGCTCAGACGGGCCAAAATGTTAACACTGACATGTAGACCCATGTATATAGTCTAAATATATTAATATGTCATCTTAAAAGCCTCTGCTCTCGTCTTCTCGATTACTGAACCTGCGCCCGCAACGCAACCTCCAAAAAAATATTATTTATATTTAAATTATATAAACTATCAAATTATTATATGTGTTGTACTTTATTTTCATTACTTATTTATTAAATATTTAGTACTTACTTTCTAATAAATTTGTAATAGTATTCTCATAATGTATTTAAACATGCTACTCGTGTTCGTCAATGTTAATTGGCTCTGAAAACAAATTTGATAACGTGCAACTTTTTTTTAAATTATTATGTAGCATTGAAATATCTTCCTTTATTATTAATAAAATTTAATTAACTTCACCTATCAAAACTAAAAGTATATATAAAACATATATATACATACAAAATATCTCATAATTAATGTATGTACTGATTATAGATATTATTAAATAAGAAAGTCTTCTATCATTATATAAACAAGTATATAAACTTTAAATTATTAATTAAAGAAATCGCTTATAATAATCACATGAAATACAGTTGGACAAGATGTATAATATTATCCCAAGAGAAAGGTGTCTAGAATCTTACAGAGATTGTCCTA